TCAGGAGATACTTCTCTATGGCCATTGATCGTTTACAACTGGTGACCTGTGGGTTTGGAAGATGTTCTTTCTGGCTCTGGGTTCAGTTCTGAGCTGGGAATAATTAAAAATAGATGTATGTGCTTAGATTACCTGGCAAGAGATTGAACCTGATGAGCAAGTACTCTCCTCCCTTCCTTGTCCCCTCCTCCCTCAGTTGCACCACTTTTGGGGAGAAAAGCTGAATGAAATAACATAGGTAGGCAATTCTGAGTTACTCAGCTAGGTAGGAAGTGACCTGCTTTCCAAATATTTAGATCACTGATGGCTGCTGAAGTCAGTGGAGCTACTTGAATGAGGAACATCTATGAAGATATTTGCGGGAGTACTTTTTGTGATGAGAACAGCAGGAAGAGGAGATAGAGTAGATTTAATATTCTGTAGAAAAAATGGAAATAGGAAAAAAACCCTCTGGAAATAGAAATCTGATTTTTACTTTAAGATTTGCCTTTTTTTTTTTTTTCCTTTGAATCCTTTTCAAAATTGATCATAAAAGTCTAAGTTGTTAAACATACTTGTTTCATTTTTACTGGATCTCAGTGTCAGTAAGCAAGGACTTACATAGTGGACCCACAACCTATTCTTGGAAATAAAGCTTTATGTAAGAGGCCCAGAGACAGTTTCATTTTTAATATAGCATGCTAACTTTAATAGGTAAATGTGTTATGTTGAAGTTACTTGAAAAAAATACCTGTTTTCAAATACAAATGTCTCTGATTTCTTTCTGGCAATCTGAAATAGTGTGCTAGCGCTTATTTGGGACCCATCAGTATGAATAATACTGCCAAATAACCTGGCTTTAGTGTGAGGGAGGCTGGTTCTGCTCCTATGTGTGTGTGTTACAGGTGGAAGGACCTGAACATTCCCTTCTTCCTTCCCTTGTTTTCCCTCCCCATGTACTTAGTGCCAGCACAGATACTGGGTGTGTACAGATGAAATTACAAGAGGTTCAGATTTTATTTGATTCTTTAGGACATTCCTAGCACATAGAGAGTCTTTTTTCTGATGGGCAGAGGCTGAAAAAGATCAGTCCAAGGATAGGTGAGTAGTCTAGGATTAGGAAGATGGGCATGGAGCAGGAGGGGGAAATGGGATGTGAAAAAGTACAAAATGGCCTTGCTGTGATAGCCACGTACTTAGATGTGAAGCAGTCTTGCATGTTGAAATGTCTTGAAAGATACAAAGATAACTCCTTGCAGTAGCAAGGTACGGAATATAATGAGGCAATACTTTCAGTGTAGATGCAGTACAGTTGTTGACAATTTTTTTTCCTTTTTTTTTTTCTTCTGCAGATATTCCTGAAATACCAGAAAGCATCTCATTCTGCAGAGCACTACAGGTAGCAGATTTCAGTGGGAATCCACTGACTAGGTAACTTCCATCTTCTTCTTAGAACTTGCCATACCAGAATGACAATCTTACTGTAACAATTACAATTTTAAATAAGCCTTTAAAAATTGTGATCTAGGATCTCTATGAAATCTTGCCAACAGTGACTGTCTCTGGCAGGGAGTGCAGCAAAAACTCAGATTTAAAAAGCGATGTGCATCTTTCCTGGGATGGGATGAAATTTGTTAGCCAACCAGGAAGAATGTAAATCTGATTGTCTCTTAAGTAATTTTCATTTCTTTTCTTAGATGCATAGGAAAACCATGCTCATACTTGGGAGGGATAAGGCAATGGTTAGCATGAATGCATTGGCAAAAACCCAGGCACCTGACAATTTGGAATATACTTCAGATCAGCTGCTGTAGATAATGGCTTTTACTAATGATTAAAGCTTGGACTAGCATTTCATCACCCTCACCATCAATTGGGACACAGTGACATGCAGTAACGTGGGAAAAGTGCACTGCATATGTCGGTGGCTGCTAAGGCTGCTGGTGGTCTGTGTTATCATGAGCTGGGGTTTGATGCATGCTTTTAGTATAGGAGTTTTGTTTTCATTTCTCTGTTCCATTTTCTGAAGAATTGGAATTTATTTAGTGATAGCAGGAAAAGGTGATCTGTTAGTTGAGGCTCCAGAACACTATCTGAAGAACTGTATCCTAAACCATCCTGTGCCACAGAGCTCCTTTGTGATGCTGAGCAAGTCATGTAAGCTAGAGTATTCACAGTGGGCTCTCAGAACCTGCTCCGCTTTGCACTGAGATGAGCTAGGAATACTTGCAGGACTAGATGGTTGGCTGGAATGCAGGATTTCTAACAGACAGGAGAGTGTCTGTAATATCTTAAGCTGCCCCAGCAGTTTTGCAAGACCGCTTCTCCCAGAACCTTCTTCAGAAGCGTGCTTTGGGTATTGCCCATGGTGCATCCTGTGCCTCTGGAAAGGCACATCACTGAGCATTAAAGGGACACTTGTGATCTCAATCTCTGTGCCTCTGTAGCCCTTTCATGCAGTGAGGATAATAATACCACAAAAATCCAGTAAAGCAAACCAAGGCTGAGCTGATGTTTAGATAGGCAAGTGGTGAGGGTCACCAGACAGCTTTTTCCCAGGCATTAGTGTGAAGTGCATAAAATTCAGAGCTGCATCTCGTGGTATTGAAATAAAAATTGTCTGCCATAGAGTGCTAGTTATTCTTCTCCATTTTGTGTGTTGAATAAGGCCTGGGGCCAAAGTAATGTGTTTCCTTAAACGGTAGTTGTAATACACAGCTATGGCTGAGTGACATTAACAAAAGATTTGAAAGGCTTTTTAATGGGGTTGGAAAAGATTTCATAACTCTTTGTTGACAGTTTAAGGGAATTTTAAAAATTCTTGATAAAGTGGCTCCAAAGTGTATGCGTGTTCTGGAAAACATCACTTCAAGCAATTTACTAAGTTAGAAAACACAGATACCAGAAGCTGTTTACACTCTGTCACCAGATATTTTCTGTGATGAGATCCAGAATTTCAGTTTTGCCTGTATAACAATGTAGATTTTGGCATTGATTTGCCCAGGCAGAATGGTGAAGTCTAGTCATTATTTCCTTTTCTGTATGATATCCTGCAACTGTTTTTAAACATTGATTCCTTTCCTTATTTTCTCTTAAAAAAGCTTGAAAAACAGCTTTAAAAAAAAACTTAAAAAGCTTTTCTCTTAAAAAGCTTAAAAACCAGTCAGAGGTCTTGCCAGTCAATGTCCTACCACTAATACAGTATGTTGCCTCATTGTCAAACTTAATCAATAAACCTGCAGCATTAAAAGTGACTGGCAGAACATTTTTTCTAGCTGTTTTTAGATGATTTCAGGTTTATATTAATAAAAGCCAGGCTCATTTATTGTATATTAGACTGGAAATCCACTATATGCTGTAGATGGCATAGAATAGAACAGTTCTACTTGGAAGGGACTTAACATGAATCATCTAGTCCAACTACCTACTTCCAGACTGACCAAAAAGTAATCAGACCATTTAACTCCAGTTTTAAATCTGTTAAAGCCCAAACAATAATTAATAGTTTGAGTGGAGCTCACATTTTGGAGATACTGAGCATGTTCTATTAGTAAGGTCCATAAAACAACAGTGCAGTATGGGGTAGAGCACATGAAAAGCCCTCCCTGCCTCTCCCATTGTAATTTGTCTTTTTTCCTTTCCCCATCATGCACGGTTGTATTTGCCTGTAGGTGTGCATCTCCTTTTGGCTAGTTGCCCGCTGGTCACACCAGCTCACACCTTGGGTTGGGTGTTGAGGAGAGCAGAAACCAAGAGGAGGAACCAAACTAATTGCTACAGTTTGAGCTTAGGTTGTCTACTCTGGGGGTTAAGCAGAAGTTGGATGCTTGGACCAGGGGCTTCTCCTCCTCCACCTCATTGCCTCTTTTACCCCGCGTTGTCTCCTGTTCAACTGCAAACTGAGCTGCTCAGTGCAGCCTGGCTGCCAGCAAGCAGTGAGTGGTACAGGAATCCATCTGTGTGAGGGGAGGGGAAGCCCGGCAGGATGATGGACCTAATGCTTTTGGGAACTTAGGGAGTGTTTTACATATGGCTGCATTTTATAGTGCAAGAAGGGAGGGATCACATGCTGTTGTGTGGTGAACCAGTAAGTATGAACTGGAATTTTGTCTCCATAGTGAGCAGGCTGTTCCTTCAAAAAGCAGCAGTTGAAGAGCAGCCGAGTAGCTAATACCAAGTGGTCATGCTGTAAGCATGTAGGTAACTGAAGCCTGAATAAAAATAATTTGTTTAGTTATTTTATCTTCTAGGTCATACAGGAAAATAACACTAAAAAAGGTTTTTTTTTTTATATGTTTGATTTTTAAACATTCATTAAAATGTTTAAAATGTTCTCAAGTCCTATAGCTTTTTCCATCTCCCCTCTCCCCCACAAATTGGGGGCAGGGAAGAGAAGGACTAAGAGACAGGGTTATCACCTGTTATTTGACACCGAAGAAACTTTAAAGAAGAAACTCTGTTGTTACTATGACCCTTAGAATTTTCCAAGCATCATGCTAGAATCTGAGCATGCCTCCCTCTGTGTGTGTTCCCTAAATAAACTCTTGTTTTCCACCACATGTTCTCTTTTTCTGTATGTATTACATGAATATGAATACTTCTGCTGGAAGTCTTTGATTTGAATTAATATCTCCATAGGTTGCCCGAAAGCTTTCCTGAATTACAGAATCTAACGTGTCTTTCAGTAAATGACATCTCTTTGCAAGCACTACCTGAAAACATTGGGAAGTAAGTTTTTTGTACTTTATTACTTTCTTAATTTATTTTAATTTTATTGTTATGCCTGTTGTATAAATGACTAGTATAATTGTATGTAATATACCTATGAAGTTATTTACAGGTCTGTGCCTTTTTTATATTCATTCCAGTCTGAGGGTCTGTTTAAGAAAAAGTCATTTGTATTTTCAGTTGACGTTAGCAGGCTAATGCAGACTGTGAAGCATTTATCTGTATGGTTCAGCTCTATTCTCTGGGATTTGGAGTAACTTGTATTTTTAGGTGCAAAATTAAATAAGTATTTTGTGAAGCAGATCTGTCCCTTTGCTTTCCTACACTGTAGTAGATCATTGATCCATTATTGTGAATATGTCAAATGGCTTGCAGCTTAGCTCAAAACCAGACAGTTGTTGGCTCAAGAACAGATGGGTAAAAGCTAACTGATAAGGATGGAAATGGGAAGGTTCCTAACTACAGGAGCAGTCTGATTCTGAGAAAAACTAGTGGGAGCTCTGGAGATGAAGACTCACAAAGCAGCTCTGAAGATGAAATTTGATAAGCTTTTAATATGTGTTTGTTAATGTTGGAAAGTACAGCAGGGTTGCAAGGCTTCCAAAGTGGAGACTTGGAAAGTAAAGTGAATGTTGTTTATCTGTCTCATTTTGAGTGAAAAGAACATCCACACTTGCAGAAGGGAAATCTGTCTTAGTGGAGAGAAGGGTTTCTCTTCCCGTTAGAAGAAGTAATTCCACGTCTTCTCACTTGGGTACATAAGAAAAACTTTACTGGTTCAGATCGAAGGCTCATCTGGCCCTGTTTCCTTCTACAGTTGCAGTAAGTGGCTGCCTAGTGAGGATTAAGAAAGTGTGTGTTTGATTACTCCTCATTCTATCCCCTGTTTCTCGTTCTGAGGATTTCCTGAACTTTGGATTTTGGTTTGTCTAATTGGTAACCCATAGTGAATCTCTCTTCCATGTACTTACCCAGTTTCTCTTTGAGCCTCTGTAGACATCTTTCATTTTCTCCCCTGGCAAACAGCTGCATGGGTCTGTTACCCACGGCCTTGGTTTGGTGGTGTTGTTTTTCTGAGCCTGGTTCTACCTGCCTTGCCTGTGATCCCTAGTACTGGAAGAGGCAGTGAGCAACTGATCCCTATGTGCCAGACCTACCATTCATGCCTCTAGTTTTCTGCTGTATCCTGAGGTCTTTTTTTCTACATTAAAGAATCTAACATGGTATTCCAGCTCTAGCAACAGTCTTCCAATAACTTAAAATATCTATGCTTTAACTAAGAAAAGTTATAGTTTGTTACTTTTGCTGGAAAACACAGATGTTGAGTCACGAGTATTGGAAGAGGCCTATTAATCTCGGACGTTCTTTCATAAAGTGAACTGTTTCCAACATGGATTCTTTGGGGAGTCAGCAGAGTTCCTACAGTAAAATCCAACTATTCCTAAACAGAGGAGTCCTCCAGAAGGGATTTTATTATTAAGAGTTCCTACAGTGTAGTCAAGTTCAGACCAGCAATGCTTTAGCCACTTCCCATGGGTATGAGAGCTGGCACCACTCCAGCAGCAACAGAAGTGGAAGACGTCTTTTGAAACCTTCCACAAGCACTAACAGGTACAGCTAACATGCACCTAGTGATGATGGCAAAGTCTTACCTAAAAATTGCATGGGCTGGGGCTTTTGTGTCATTCTCTTTTTCTGTAAAAGTTCACAAAACTTTTCATGCAGCTTTTTACAGCACTAGCAGCTCAGAACGGGCTTGTTCAGACTTTGCCGGTTGCTGAAACCCAGGGCCAAAAATGTTGGATCCTGCCTGATTCTGAAAACGACTGAAAGAAACATGACAAGCTGAAGCTATTCCCAAAGCACGAGGTGAACTGCTGCTTTGCAGACAGTAGCTACAGAAAGGCTGCTACCTTACCTGAGAGGCTGCTGACTGGTAGTTCTGGCTTCTTGCTTGTCCTGCCTGTCGTTTGGTAGCATGAGTGGTGATAGCCTCTGTTTTGGAGCGAATGACCAGAAACAGCTAAGCTTGAAGGAGGGATACCAGACATCTGTAGAGATGTCAGTATGTGTGTGCAAGAATAAGGGTAAGCATTTGCCTATTATTGATCCTAAGCATTCCAGGGAAATGCTGTGATACTAATTTAGCCCTAGGTGATCTGGTGCAGAACAGAGCAGCGTAACCTGTCCTCCCTCAAAGTCCAAACCCGATTCCTGATAATGAAGCTAAAAACCAGGAGTCCTCAATTGCTTTGGGAAGAGCCACAGGCTTCTCCTGGTGGTCTCAGTAAGTTCTCCTGGAGGACTAGACTTCTGTTCAAGTCTGACAGGTCTGCTTTGATCTGGGAAGTGCTCCCAGGTTAGCTATGTAGAATATTAATATTGTATTTTTACAAAAACACTTTAATCTCATGAGATGGAGCTTTACACTTAAAGGAACAGAGACAAAAGTGTGGGGCTGTTGTCTTTGGCTCATCTGGTATTAATGATAGGTGGGAATATGGCAGTTGGGAATTAGAGATTAAGTTTGGGCTAAAGAAGCATGCTTTCCAACTCAGAAGAATACTAATGTAGCAAGAGGGATACTCATGGAGTGCCCACCCAAAATGTAACTGTTTTTGAATTTTGCTGGGAAATGTCTTGGTGACAGAGAGAAAGGAAGAAAGGGATTCTGTCTGGTTCCAGTTGAAAATTATTGGGAGGTCTTGTTTGTAGCCAGTTAGAACTGCAACCTGAAATCCTTAGGGGTCACATACCTCTGAGAGTGAATTTTATAACATTTTTAGTATCAGTTCTATAAGTAATAGATTTTTTTTTTTTTTTCAGCAAACAACAAATGCAGTTGTTTAGCTCACAAAATTTTCATCATTTATTGGAAGTGAATTTAATGGTACAGCAGATTGCCTTGTGTTTGATAAAACCAGTGAAATGCTCTGTGGCTTCTCCAAAGGTTGCCTACTTACACTCTTCATTCCCTTCTTTGTTCTTTTCCCTCTGCTCTTGCTGTGATTCAAAAAATGCTAGGAATTGGAAAGAAAGTAATGCTAATTGTGTCTTTCTGGCTGAAGTGACCAAGTAAGGCTCTTGAAGGTGTTTGGATATGTTCACAAATGTCTTACTGGAGTTTCTGTGAGCTTTGGATAACAATCCATATGTTACTTGATGGAATAGGCTGGACTTATGTGCTTTGTATGGGAAGTGTCAAATAGCAAGCAAAAATATATATATACTGGTGATCTATTCTACTGAAGTTGGTCTTGCTTTGGGAAAAACCTGAAGCCCCTGTACTTGCTGCCAGTCTTCTGGCCATTAGCATATGTGGAAATTTAGGGAAATGCATCCTAATTTCTTATGGTTTTGCTCTCTAGTCTAAGAAAGTATCTAATACAGCCAGTGAAATTTCCAATTAATCTTCATGTAGTACAGTGATCAGTATGTACTTAGTGTTTTTCTTTTTAAAGCTGCCTACTTAAAATCCTGTGGAACAACAAATTTTCCTTACTGTATTGAATGGGGAAAGCAAGAGAAGTAATGGCGTATTTTGCAAACAGCAGTACTTTGAAGGTTAGTTAGGAAGTTCTTCCTAATGGCAGATAGTGGAGTTGAATTGCCTTGTGGTGAACCATTAGTGGAAGTGTGTCTTTCCTCAAGAATTCAGATATCCAGTCCGCTTTTCACGTGGTCTGATGTGTAAGATGAATGCCATTGTTCAGCTTCAGTGTCCCAGGCCAGTGTCTGAACTTGAACAAGCCGTTGATATGTAGGGTTGCTGTTAGTATTTTTCCTCTGCTGTTAAGAATTCTTCTGCATTGAGTTATTACGTTTTTCTTTTCCTTTGTGTTGCTGAAATTAGATTTTTTTAAGGGTCCCAGCTAGACAATTGAGTAACATAGGCAAGGTCTCCCTTGAGTCTTTTGTCTTTCCTCTTGCTTGTGCACAGTCGTGCTCAGTGTATGTCAACTTTTCTTCTTCCGTGTGACTGGCTCATGTTCAGCTGGCTGTCAGTCGAGACCTCCAGGTCTCTCTCTGCTGGGCAGCTCTCCAGCCACTCCTCTAGTGCTGCTGGGTGTTGTGGCTGGGGGGCAGGACCCGCCATTTAGCCTTATTGAAACTCATACAGTAGGCCTTGGCCAATTGATCAAGCCTGTCTAGATCACTCTGCAAAGCCTCCCTACCCTCAGGAAGATGGACATTCCTACCCAACTTAGTGTCATCTGCAATTAGGTGGGTGCAGCTTGGAGCAGGAGTTGTGCTGTTGGCTAGTTGAACCCTTTGGGGAAACAAGTTACAGAATTTAAGCTGTGAGTGGGAGCGTCTTTTACAGGGTTTCTCAGTCTAATGAGAGCAAGTCTAATTTCCTTGCCTGTTCTGCAGGACTGTGTGTGTCTGCAGAGCTGCCCAATGAGCGAACACAGCATGTTCCTGCCAGCATGGGTAGTATTTAGGAATTCCAGGATTTTTATTCAATCCTTCCCTATTTGTTTAACACCTAAAATACAGGGCATGGCTTTTTCCTGGAATTAAAAAATCAGAGTATTTGTATGTCGGGGTATTTGGATAAACGAAGGTGTTTGTCTGTAAGACTTCCTTACAGTAATATGAATAATCTAATGTCTGCCTGTCCTCAGCACCTTCTCTGTCCATACATGTTCATTCTGTAGAGTGGGCTTCAGGTTTAGTTCCCCACCACCACCAGCCCACTGGGATGTTGACTTTTTACCAGCAAAGATTTGGGAGCCTGGAGATACAAACAGTGCTCTTACGGCTTAATGTCTAGAGAGAGAAGAGAGATTGTGTCATTTTGGATGCTTATTTATTTGTGGTTCTTAGGCTTGAATGAAGTCCAGGTGCCTTCTTTGGAAAGCCTTTCATGTGTGTCTCTAGTGTTTAATCTAGCACTGGACCCTCAGATGGGTGCTACACAAGGGATTGGCCCTAGCAAAAAACCCAGTCCTTTCAGCATGAAATGCATATTTGAAAAGGACAGTTTTCTGTCAAAC